AGAAATGTAGAAATATAAATTTGTTTTGTTACAGGGATTTTTATATGCCTTCGATATATTTCAGTAGTTGTCTCAGCTACTTTTAATACCAAAATGACTGACTAGTCAAAACTACTACTATTAGATATAAATCTAGTCATTGTTTCCATTAGATTTGCAAAAGCTTGTGCCATATGCATTGTTTTAGCATTTAAATAGTACCCAGACGAATACAAGTTTTCTTTTGTTCCATTTTATATGTTGTTTACTATGATATGTGCTCAAATCAGTGAACTTCATACACCTTTTAAGCTTCTACGCTTAAGAAGCATGAATAGTTTTCAAAATTGGGATAATATAATTGATAAAATCTCTTATTTGGTATTGTTGTGAAAAGAGCAGAAATAGAATCTGGAAAATCTAAATAGTGTAATTTTATTGAAATGGCTTCTCTGATTGTCTTCTATCAGTGCGTAAACATCTCTTGGGAGAAAAAATGCCGAAATCTCGCCATCGTTCATTAGTCTCATCTCTGAAGACGAAATAAATATTGTCATCAAACGTTTAATGATATGAAGAATCGAAAAACACATTATTTTTCCGAAAATCGATGGATTCTCAAACTTGTTTGATAATTATCAACAGATACCATCTTAAAGGCAATGAAAACACAGCTTATGAATGCCGCAGCTTTAGTCATGATTTCCTAAATTTTTGGTATACTGCATGCAGCTTTCAAAGCATATATTTAATTATTGCAAAACAACCGGTATATTTCTATAGCAAAATAAAATGTTGCCCTTAAAAGATACAGATATTCAAGGGACTACTGTTTCCACGTATGTCTCTCCATGACTTTTTCAAGCAAAGTTTCACTTGCCCAATGTATAGTGTGTACAACAGTTTCCCAGTTACCAAAAAATAAAAAAAAATAAATTCAAGAGCTATTTCAAGCGAACATTATTCAGCAAACAGAGCTGATTATAAAGGCAATGCAGTACTTTATTTAGTGCACGAGATAATATTCTCAGGATGGTTCTATGGATTATGTGTTGAATATATGAGTTGGGGACAGCTGAACAAACTCTCTTTTTTAAGGAAATGTAGCGAATAAAAACGATAATTCTTATTATTACTAAAATCACAGACTTCCTTTGAACTTGACACCTAACAGAGCTCTGCTTCCTTGTTTTAAATATAGTTACTATTAACGTTATGCTTAGGTTGTATGTATACAAACAATAAACCATGTATCCTTGAACATGCCTGTTCCGCTACTATTTAAAACAGCTGACGAGGTGTAAACGACCTCTCCATTTGCAAGGTTTGCCACTATTTATAAACACCGAATTCGCATTTTATCTCGATGGAAATGCGTCTTCGTATTTTATACTCATAATGCAGGGACAACGAGGAACAAAGAAGGTTCAAGATAATCCAGACGTAATCAGTAAAAAATAATTAAAATTATTGTCTTATAGAATGAAGTTGCCATTCACTTCTACTTCAAACAGTTTATTGCCTGGTGATGACAGGTTCAAGAAAAAATCGCTACTTCCTGTTCAAAGACTACTAAAACGGGGAAATTCGAGCAAAACTCAATACATCCACGATAAAATGCAGAAGATTCGCGGAAATTTACGTAGAATAAATACTCATTTCAATATAAATCCTAGATTTAGTGTGCAATATCATACCAGCGGTTTCTAGAGCTTAAAATAGGAAGAAAAGTTTATATAAACATAGGTCGACAAACGTCAAATAAAGGCGCTACGGTCTTTTAAAGGTTCTCCCCTGAAGATGGTTTTTCCTGAATATTTCCGAAACGTGTTGAGATAAGGACATGAAATTTGGTATTCTAGCCTAGTCTTTAGGCTGGATTTAAAAATATTAATTTTAGACAGTTTTGTTTGGAAGCGTATGTAACAGGGACAGACTCAGGTTATTTGAGCCCCAAAATTTTTGTGTGATTCTATTTTTGAAATTCAATTTTAGAATTTGAAAATTTAGGGTTTTCTACATAAAAAGGTACTCTTATTAAATATCGATATTGTGCCATTTTTGAATAAAATCAAACTAAAAAATTTGTCACATGATAGGAAATGTACTGCGAATTTAAATGAATTGTTGAATAATTAGCCATGGCAACGAAAAAACTAATTTAATGATTGGTAAATATTACATAAATACATATTTCTATTGCAACATAGCTAACATTTAGTCAAAAACAAAAGAAATAAAGACATACAGTTGGATATACTTAAAACTAGCTTTACAATAAGTGTTCACATAAATTCCCATTTTGTTGGATACATAGTCTCGCTCGACGAACTAATGATTGCGTAGCCCGAAAAGTGGAAAACCTTTTTCTTCTTATTTCATTTGCAGCCTGATGGATTCTTTGAAGTAAAGCTTCTTGACTATATACTTCAGTCGAGTAAACTAGGTCTTTTAATGACCCCCAAAAATAGAAATCCAATGGATTTAGGTCAGATGAACGTGGCGGCCACGCTATAGGTCCTCCTCGGCCTAACCACCTGTCTGGAAAATTGACATGCAACCAATTTCGAACACTCAGTCCAAAATGTGCAGGGGTGCCATCATGTTGAAAAAACATATTTTCTTGAAAGTGCTGGCGCACATCCAATGGTATTATATCCTCATTCTGAAGAAAGTTGAGATACACCTCTGAATTAAGACGATTGGGAAGTACAATAGGCTCAATTACTTGATCCCCAATTACTCCTGCCCATAAGTTCAATGAAAAACTATGCTGGAAATTTGTACGGCGAACAACTTTTGGATTTTCATCTGACCAGTGATGCATGTTATGGAAATTAAAAGCACCATTCCTAGCAAATATTGACTCATCCGACCATAATATTCTAGGAATAGTGTTTTCATTTGCTAATATCCACCGGCAAAACTCGATTCGTGGTAAAAAATCTGCCTTCGTTAAATGGTGCACCCGTTTAAAATGATAAGGATGTAATACTTGCATTCTTGTCGTTCTTCCTATCTTAGATTATTATTTTTAGGATAACTATCAAATAGGTATTCATAAATTTTTCTTACTATTGATCGAGGTATATCCATATTTTCTGAAACATTTCGTATGCTTATTTGCGGATTATTTTCAAACATATTTAAAGCAATATCCATATGATGATTTCCCAGTGACCTTCCTGAACCCTGCATGCGCTGAAAACTTCCATGGTTTGACAAATTCCGGTGAATATCAGTAAACATTCGACGTCCAGGTACTATGCGATTGGGAAATCTTCTTTGATATTCTCTTACGGCTGCCAATGAACTGCCATTTCAAAACCCGTACACAAAATGCATGTCAGTCAGTTCTCTGTTTGTAAATCTTGGCATTTTAAATCGATGTAATAAAAATTTTGATTTTAATCTAGTAATTTTACACTGCTAACAATATCAGCTTAATGTCAAAATAAGTCATAACAAATCAAAACAACTTTTGTTTGCAGTCATGGCTAACTATGTAAAATCAACAATTCATTTAAATTCGCAGTACATTTCCTATCATGTAACAAATTTTTTAGTTTGATTTTATTCAAAAATGGCTCAATTTATCGATATTCAATAAGAGTACCTTTTTTATGTAGAAAAGCCTGAATTTTCAAATTCTAAAATTGAGTTTTAAAAATAGAATCACACAAAAATTTTGGGGCTATAATAACCTGAGTCCGTCCCTGTTTCATACGCTTCCAAACAAAACTGTCTAAAATTGTTAATATTTTTAGATCCAGCATAAAAAACTAGGCTAGGATACCAAATTTTATGTCCTTAGCACAACACGTTTCGGAAATATTAAGGAAAAACCATCTTCAGGGGAGCCCCTTTACAAGACCGTAGCTCCCTTAGGCGACGTTTGTCGACCTATGTTTATATAAACTTTTCTTCCTATTTTAAGCTCTATAAACCGCTGGTAGAATATTGCACACTTTTTTCGGGACACCCTGCATATATAGTATGTACCACTAGTTATTCCATTTTTGAATATTACTAATGTACCTAAATGTCGCAGGCTGGTCGACAAATAGGAAGATTGGAAAATAAGTCAGAAACGAATGATGTGTCGACATACTATATTCCAAGTCTGATCAAACTAAATGTGATAACATGTGTTAGTTCGATCTGAAAAGTAATATCTTTGTAGAAGGTCATTACTGTCCTCCCACATTATATCCCTGCTATAAAAGTGCTTAGCCAATAAAGGTATAGTTCTCCTCAAGGTATGATGTAATGTATTATTATTTTTTTGGTTCAAAAATATTTTGTCTACATGGATTCTTAAAAAAACTAGTTTTTATTATTATGATCGTGATACCTGGATAAAATTACCCCGGAGCTCTGGAGCTGGCAATTAATGTGAATTTTGGTGAATGCGCCCACCCCCGCGGTGGTATCCTGTTGAAATAATTTCACTTACAAGGCATTGCGTCTCAAACAGCAAGATGGCTATGACGTTAATCAATGCTATGTTGTTTTTGTAATACCAAAAACACAGTAGAAATGAAAGCGCTGAGCCAAAATGACGACACTGTTTTATGAGAAAATTTTATTGCGTAACTATCTACGTTTTTTGACTATCTACCTTGTCACTAAATTTCAAACTAACTTCTTGGTGGCATTTGAAGCAAATATTAATAGTAATTACTAGCTATTTTCTCTGTTTACTAAAATGTTTTTCTTACGCAAACAGGCCGACAGACAGACAGACCCGAGGAAATAGGTGAGATCGCTTTTGCGACAATGACCTATACCTCTTATCATGGTATGAGCAAAAAGAAAAGAACACTGTGCTGCGCCACAAAACAACGAGTTTGAATATGCGATCCTAGTATTCATAATGTAAAAATAATTAGACTGAGGTCAAAGAAGAAACGCGGTCTATAGACAATCCACCAGCTCATTATATGAGTAGGACACTGGGTCACTATTGATTCGTATTCTATTTTTTCAACTACCCTCGCAAAAATAGCTTGTCAACTTACCCAGTTGTTTCGATCTTGGTAATCAAATCAGGCATCTTGCTGCAATTCTTTGACCTGGACCGTGCACGAGTAAGACAATCGAATTAAGTGTAGGACTTATGGTACATAGAATAATACCCGAAAATAAATCTCAAGTATACCTTGTCTGACTTGGAAACGAAACAGTTCGTTCGGTGGTATTTGGCAACAAATTTTTTGAACTTAGCCAGATTAGATGGGTTTCGCGGGACCGACAGACAGACACAAAGGCTACTGTGTGAGGATGGTTAGTTAGCTTCAGCGTGTGGCACCGTCGGCAAATCGATTGAGCAGCTGATATCGATCCACTATATTTATATGTAGCCCGCGCGCGCGGTTTCTGCCTGGTGCTTCTGTCTCTTTCTAGCACCTTTGTCACTCGCGTTTCCGCGGTTTTTATCTCGCAGAAAAGCCGACGTTCATTGTTTTTTGGTTATTTTAACTACATACGACATGATAATAAATTGTCTTAATTGCACTATTTTACATTATATATCCAACCTACAACAATAGACGTAGATAAGTCACTAAAATTTTGACAGTCTAATCGGTGGGGTGTTACCATGATGATATTTTTCAGCTCAACCGTACATCCTAATATTTAAACAATAAGGAATTAAGTTTTTTAAACGACTAAAAAAATTAAATAAAGTTTGATTAGTGATCTATTGCTATAGACATACAGGGTGACGCATCGAAAACGAAACAGACGCATTTACTGGCAGCTCAGTTTTTTTTTTGGAAAAACGCTCAGACCCGTCGATTTTGTTTTCGAGGGGGACACAAGTTTGGCAAAAAATCACGTTAACACGTGCAGCCCCCTGGGCGGGGGTGACATCAACCCTAAAATCTTAAATGGAAAGGGGGGTCGAGTGATACCTTATTTTAAATGTCTTTCAATTCCCTTTATAATGATATAAAACTAATGTACTTCAGTTCAGTAGTTTTGAAGATTTATTGATTTAAAGCTTAAATAAAACTAATACATCGTCATTAGTGGAGATCAATACATTTGGCAGCAAAATAATTTAAAAATGAAGAATGAACTGACCCGTTAGGCAAGTAAATGTTGAAAATGGCCACCATGCAATAATAAAGATTTTGCTCAAAACCTTGCCGCACCTTTTGCAATATTTGAGCAGTAATTTGGAGGCACTCAGCCACAATTCTTTGTCGCAGGTCTTCTAATGATGTTGGCTGAGTAGCATAGATTTTTCTTTTTAAATGACCCCACATAAAGAAATCCAAAGGTGATAAATCTGGTGATCTTGGGGGCCATTCAATGGCACCTCTTCTAACAATCCATCGATCTGGAAACGTCTGATCTAAATATTGTCGAACACGTAATGCGTAGTGTGGTGGGGGACCATCCTGTTGGAACATCAACCTATTCGCAATGTACCGCCGATCATTCTGATTTTCAATTATGGCTGTTAATGCAGGATCTATGGCGTCTTCCAGTAATTCCAAATACATTTCACCGGTCAAATTTCCAGGTAAGAAAAAAGGACCAACTAAATACCAGCCCAAACATTTAATTTTTGTGGCTGCTGTGTATGAACCTCATGATAGATTCTGGGATTAGAATCGGACCAATATCAACAGTTATGACGATTTACTACGCCATCTATCTTTGTAAATTGAGTGAATAAATATTATTATTATTATCATTATTATTATTATTATTATTATTTAAGAAAAAGGAACATTCGTCGGAAAAGCAAGCGTTGAATAGAAAATGTTCATCATTTATAATTCGTTCACTCATATCTTCACAAAATTGTAATCGACAATCAAAATCATCTTCATTAAGTTCTTGTACCCGGTGAATTTTGTACGGATGAAAACTATGGGCCTTTAGAATCCGTTGGACTGTACGTCGACTAACACCACACACAGTCTCCAATTTGCGGGTACTTAACGTAGGATCTACATAAACTTGCCCTAAAACCCCCACTTCTATTGCTTCGTTCCTTATGGGATTTTCAATGTTGTAATTTAGCTATAATTTCTAAAACATATTTTCGATGTACGTTACTGTTCCCATGTCGTTCATTAAATATTTCTGCTATTCTATTAGCGCACTGATTATTTCCGAAAAATATTTCGATAATTTCAACTCTTTCTGCTGTGGAATATACCATGGTTAATTTATGTAATAAAGCGTTACAAGTTATTTTAGCAACAAAGTTGGTCAAATCAATCGCAAACTATGTACTGAATTCCTATTTAAAATAAGTACGAGATATTTCCTTATCTTTCTTCAACAAATAACTTTTTTTGCCACAAAAAAACGCTCCAATAGCTATTTTCAACAACAAAATGATAAACAAACCATGGGCGTAGTGAAGAAAAGCATTTACTTATTAAGTAAATTCTTTTAGTCAAATTTCTTCTGAAAGTAGTACAAACTAATTTGATGTACTCATTAAAGTCTACTTTAAGCTATAAATCAATAAATCTTCAAAACTACTGAACTGAAGCTCATGTATTTTACATCATTATAAAGGGAATTGAAAGACCTTTAAAATAAGGTATCACTCGACCCCCTTTCCATTTACGATTTTAGGTTTGGTGTCACCCCCGCCCAGGGGGCTGCACGTGTTAACGTGATTTTTTGCCAAACGTGTGTCCCCCTCGAAAAAAAAATCGACGGGTCTGAGCGTTTTTAAAAAAAAATGAGCTGCCAGTAAATGCTTCTGTTTCGTTTTCGATGCGCCACCCTGCATTGCTTTTAGTAAAAGTAGATAAAGATATCGGGAGCGACCAATTTATGTCAGAACTAGTCAAGTAGATAGGGTGACTGAGTGGTGGGGGAGTGATTATGTACTGCTGAGTAACCACGACTTCAGCTTCGTTTTAAAAATGTTCACAGTATAATTTCTTAATTCAAATGAAAGGTCATTGTATAACTTGGCGGCAGTATACGAGAACCTCTTTTTGTAGAGAGACGTAAAGCGTTTAGGTATAACTAATTATTGTAGATTTCTGTTAACCAAGTTACTGATATTTTCTGATTTGTTGAGTTTATTTCAACGATATTCTATAACGTAAAGTATTTAGGTATAACTAATTATTGTAGATGTCTGGTAGACAAGTCACTGATATTTTCAGATTTGTTGAGTTCATTTGAAAGATATTCTGGTTTCTTATTCCCTAAAATTGTATGTCTTTGGTATTTTCTAAGATGTGCTACGTTCATTATACCATTTTTTGTACACAAGATCAAATTTCCGTATACCCAGACAGAAACGGGTAAAAGAATTTTGTAGCCGTTGTAACTTGCCTTTATCACTTTTTATTACAACTGGGCCATATACACTTACACAGTATAAAACTCTTGAAATAACAAGAGCAACACACAATAATGGACTTGCTAAAGGAGCAGGGTGAAGATCGGCCTCTTTTCTCCCATCACATTTGCGAAAACTGGAAGTTGAAATTTTTACCATTTTGTTGTATTTATATCAAGTTCAAGTATCATTCTTTACATTTACAGTAAACTGATAAAAAATAAAACGGCAAGTATCAGGAAAAAACCTTCAAACTTGGGTTTTCTAATTAATTCTATCAATTTTAAGTTTTTTTTATCTACAATTATATTATAAACGCTTCTTCCTGCGCTTTGTGTACCATGTAGGCTTGTTTATAAGTCGCTACTCTATCATAAATAGGTACGAAATTACAGTGGAGCCCAAAGCGACTAAAAAAATTTCAAAAAAAATATAAAAAGCGCCTGAAATGGCTCAATAAGCGTGTCAAGTTTGAAAGTTTTTTGTTGAATCATTTTTCATTTTATAGTAGATGTAAATAAAGATACTTAAACTGAATATAAATATATAATAAAGTGGCCTAAATCTAGATTTTCCCACACATTCGTGTTTCTATTACCGAACTAAGATATAATTATCTATTAGGTACTGACGCAAATTGGGAAATTTCCTCGTAATACATACAGAGTGAGTTTCTATTGTGGGCTTGGTCGATAACTCCGTTTTTACGCATGGTATGTAAAAATATAATTACAGAAATTATACCAGACAGTATGCACCTTACTTGGAAAATAGTTTCATCTCTACAGGGTGATTCATAACTACGTGGTGACCCTAGCCTATTTTTTGAAATAGAAAGACATACATTTTATCACGTATCTGAATAGATCCTTCCAAATGAGCAATTTGAACGTACTATAGGGTTTTATTTCAAAATTGCTGAGATATGGAACAATTTATCGAAAAGAAGCTTAACTTTGACAACTCGCATATCCTCGACTGTTGAGTACTAAATTTATTCCTTGGAAAAAATTTATGATTTCACATTTTTTCTCTACATACTTTGTAAGTTTTTTTATATTGAACTCTCTTAGATATGTATACCCTATACATATGTGTAAAAGCCAGTAAAAGCTTTTAAATTTTCTTACGTCTGTACATTACACAGTTTACCACTCGCGAAACTGGCTTTTGAAACATCGGACCCGTGTTTTAATCTTTCCTTGAATATGCTACATTGTTAAACTAGGTTGACAAGGGATAAAGCTGTGTAGTAGCCACAGTCGCTAAGCGAAAGGATCCAATATCTATCTCAAAATGATCTGTTTCTCTAAAGTTTAGAAGGTAAAGAAACAGCACAAAACTGCAAGTTTGAGGAACTGAACAAATGCCAATTCATTAGCATTATTCTCGAAAGCGAAGATAACCGGAACATATGGCTTTTTTATTACGTATCAGATGACCAAAAGTGCATAATACCGGAAGCAATTACTGGTTTTGCTCTTGTGAGGAATATATACTAAGTGACATATAAATCCGAACACCCAGTTTAAATGGTTTTATTTTAATAAAATTTTGTATAAGTACTTAATGAAGCATAATAAGTAAAAGATAAAAATTTCAAAATGATTGCACTGCTTTAAAGCCCTTTGACCTTTAATAATGTGTGGATGCACCCTGATGTGCTACGCATTCTCCAACGCGCCTAGGCATGCTTCTGATCAGGTGGCCAATGTCCTCCTGTGGTATCTCATTCCAGGCAACCACCAACTCCTCTCGAAGTGCTTCTAGAATCTGAGGAGGACGTTGCAAATTGAGCAATCTCCTACCCATCATATCCCACACGTGCTCAATTGGGGATAAGTCGGGAGATGGCCATGGTAACAATGTGACATCATTATGTTGAAAGAAGTCTATTGTGCCTCTTGCAACATGTGGTCGGGCATTATCTTGTTGGAAAGTTGGATCTGCCAGGGTGTCAAGATAAGGTAAAAGATGGGGTTCTAGAACTTCGTGGATATAACGCTGCGCGTTCATGTTACCTCTGATGAAGATTAAAGGTGACCTGGAACCATAAGCTATAGCACCCCAAACCATAACTCCAACAGTGTGATGAACATGTCTTTCAACAAAACACTGTGGATTCCTCCTTTCACCACGTCGCCTTCTAACCCTGGCACGACCATCGTGCATGCCTAAACAAAATCGAGACTCGTCACTAAAGACAATACTGTTCCATTCCTGATCCCAGAGTGAGCGTTGTCTGCACCACTCAAGGCGATTACGTCGGTGTTCTCGAGTTAAAGGGAGGACCCAGTGTGGCCGGTATGAAAACAAGCCAAAACTTCTCATTCGTCGGTAAACACTTCGCATGCCAATAGGTCTTCCGTGTTCTGCAAACCATTCATTTGCAATGGACCTGGTAGTGGAGAAACGGTCCCTTAAGGCCAATAATCTGAGGCGGCGATCTTCACGGTCTGTTGTTCTACGGCGGCGTCCAGTGCCCCCTGCTCTTTGCGTACGGCCTTCTCGAAGCCATGCCTGACAACAGCTAACCACAGTGTCTACACTTCTTTGTACTCTAACTGCAATTGCCCGAAAAGAAAGTCCAGCTTCCCGAAGTCCCACTATACGGCCCCTATCAAACTCACTAAGTTGACGAAATCGTACAGGTCTCCGTACTCTAGGCATCGTAACCGATCGTAAAGGATGTCAAGAACCAAAATCCGCCAACGTTGATTCTTTACTGTGGCTGAAATATTCATTTTTAGAGCGTTAGTGAATTAAAAAAAAGCAGTATAAAAACCGGAATGTCCAACTGATAAGGCTGAAAATTTTTTCACTTGTTATTTCTGTGGCTTGGATAAACAAGGGCCAATCTACGAAAATCAAGTTTGGAGATAATTTAGGATTTGTGAATTGGAACAAAATTATTTCTTACGCAAAAATCCTTTATCCGAATTGAATGAAATTTGGGTAGCATGTAATTGGATGTGCTATGATCCAAAATATATTGAAAATTCGTAGAAGTATTCATTTATTCACATATTTTTGTTTGTTAGGCCACTACAATTTCGGCCTAACTCACATAGACCCTATATCTAATATGCACGTAGGCCCAAGAAAATGGTATATAAGCCCCATTGTAGGAAAGAGTATAACTTAGGCCTTTTTTGACTATAAAACGTTTTCCCCATTATGATTTATTTTAGCGTCAATAACAATAAAACACACTTGGCAATGTCATATATTTTATAAAAGTATAGAAATAATCTCAAGAACTGTTTTCTAGATATTAACATAAACTAAAACTTTACTTTTTTTTACAATGGCAAAAAAATGAAAAAAGGCTTATTCATCATATTGTAAAATAGCTGTCGGACATACATCTTCATCGGCAGCTGTTTCTTCTGATTTGAGATTAGCATAAAAAAGCCGACAATTTGGGTGTATATATTGTATTAACGTATTAATGTCGTCCAATTTTTTTTTTGGAAGAGGCAACGGGTACGAATTATGTAGCCTTTCCAAAACGAGTTGTGTCTCATCTGGCTGTCCTTTTTTCTTCTTTGTTATATCCCAGACTTTGAAATCTTCTTTTGCCAATAAGCCTTCCTTGTAGAAAATTTTTCCAGGGTTTTCCTTCGTGTAGAGGAAATAGTTTGCTTTCAAAAAAGACATTTGCTCTCCGTCCGCGTTTTTCTTTCTATTCACAAAATACGCTTTCTGAAGAGCGCTTATATTGTAAAAATCATCCTGAGACATGTCAATGACTTTAATTCCTCCTTTTCGCTGAATGCTGCGAACCAGAGTGGACCAGTCTCTGGGTATTTCTATATCCATTGTTGTGTGCTTTTTAGCTTTTTCTATTGAAGCATGAATCGAGTCTGCTTCCAAGTGAGTATGACCGGAGATTAGGAATTTGTGGTGGACTTCTTTTAGCATGTGGTTTGGTGGCAAAAGTTGAAACACCTTGGACAGTAGAGTAACAACATGAATGTTTTTATTTTGCCCTGAGCAGCAATCACTATATAAATTTAGACAGGTTGCCTCTGGGGGCAAGTTTCTTATGATGCAATTTCCTGTCCTCCACGGTTTGAAGTGGTTTCGTCCCACATGAAACAAAAAGATCTATTTCCGTTGGATTTTGTAACCTCGTATATTGTTAGGTTGAAAACCCACAACTGCCTTTTATAAAAGGCAATTCCACTTTTTAGGTGGGGAGTCGGTAAACATTTTTGTAAGTCGAACATTGCCGTTACTATAGTTTCATCTTGTTTACTTTTTTCTTTGTCAATCCTTTTTGCATTGTACGCCTTCTCTGCTGCATCTAAATGTTCTTTTTTTTCTCGTTCGTAGTCTATTTTTTGTCCTTCATCAGCGGAAGATTTTATTAAGATGTTTAACTTATCGCACTTGCTGCAGGTATCGTTATGGGGTGGATGAAACGAAAGGTTGAAATTGGACACAAAAATACTTCGGTAGTAGTGGTCAGACACCGGAGCTTTTTCCGCTTCTTTACAATATTCGATATAAAGCCTATACATTTGTTGAATGCTTAAATCGGGAGATAAGTATCGTTTCTCTGAATGCGATCGAGAATAATGACTCTTGTAAGCTGGAAATTTAGAGATATGTTGGATTACAAAACTTTTATCTTCATCTGATATTTTATGGTGGTTGCCATGCTTCCCTCTTTGGTCTGGTCCACATATTCCGCTTATAGAAAGCCTACACTTCTCAATCGTATATCTTACTCTTTTAAAACTTACATCCAGAGTATTCATAAACATCACCTTACAAACTTCTATAGGTAATCCTCCTTTGTTCAGTAGATAGGTATGACTAAATGATCTTCTGCTGTCTTCTTCAAGTTTAGTGCATCGACGCTTTTTAAATTCCCTAACTGAACTTGACAAAATCTGAGTTTGTTCATTATATGTCAAAGAATAAAAGTCTTTAAAAATACTTATCCTTTCCTCATGGCTAAATTTTTCATAGCACTTTTTCTTGCATCTACATGGTTCTTTCAAGATTTTTGCCTGGACAATTTTATTCTTTTTTGTTTTATATTCTTGGCCATTTGCTCTTGCAACCTTCCTTTTAGATACTTGCCACCCTAACTCATTTCTGACTCTTTTTCTTGACTTTTTTTTCCTTTTTTGTGTTTCTCTCTCTGACTCGCTGGTTTCATTGTCACTTTCTGTTCTGTAAGAATTATCTGAATCAGTAGCAAAAGGATCGGTTATGTCGCTTTTGTTGTCCCCTACGTCCTGCAAAATATAAATCTATAGTTTAAATTTTCCTTCAAATCAATTAACTTACAATTTCCATATTTTGTTGATCAATATATTGAAGTTTTCCTTGATCTTGATCGGTAACAACTTGCTGGTTCACAGAGGAACAATGTGGTTCCTGGAATATATAGTATTTTCAATTTCAAACTTATAATGCTACTCTTTTGTAAGGTTAATGATGGATGATCTTAATATACACAACATAGCTAATTCCACTTTCCTCATCAAGATACTTACAATTTTCATTGTTTGTTGATCAATAGACTGGTATTGGTCTTGATCTTGATTGCTAACAACTTCCTCGCTAACAAAGTCTCTTACAAGTTCCATTGGTTGTTGATCAATAGACTGGTATTCGTCTTGATCTTGATTGCTAACAACTTGCTCGCTAACCAAGCCACAATGAGGTTTCTAGAATCACTATATTTTACAATTTTAGCTCCAAAATAATAGGTACTATTTTACACGCTATGTATACCAGCTCCGAAGAAAAAAACTTACTTGAATAACATCATTTTTCAAAATGATAATCTTCTTATTGTCATCGGTTGTGGTAGCTACATCGTCATTTATGTTAGAATTTTCCGTTTTATTTTTCTTAGCTATATCTACCATCCTCTGGCTTCGTGACTGATGTTTCTCATTGTACAAAGACATTTTAACTTTTGGTTTATGTTTGCATGTTCTACAATAATAATATACTCTACGACATCTTAAACATTCTTTCAAGTACTCAAACTTACCTTGAACAAAAAAGAATGCAGCAAAAAATGAGAATTTATCACAAAACAGTCACAAAAAACGTGCCACACACACCTGTTCGTTAGATAAAATTTTGAGGATGTTTTTACCGGCAATTGCGCCGAGGCCTATGTTACACATCAGATACACACAATAAATACGTTTAAACTCAAAAAGGCCTATGTGGCAAATCCGACCAAAAGCGGAAAGCTATTATGTCTTTCTGTTGCACAGAGGCCCTTTTCAAATGTGTGTTTTGAATAATGAAACGTCCCAAATTGACATAGGCCCAGAAATTTCAATGCACTTTGAATAAGTGGCAGTTAGGCCCTAAGCATTTAAATGAAAGGGGATATTTTAAAGACCCAAGGTCTCATAGGTCTCGATTTTCTGGGCCTATTAGTCACTTAGGCCGTTTTATGCTTATAAATTAATAATATATTTGTTACATGGGACCATTCAAAAAGGCGCAAACGGTAGATTGGACTTTACATTTTATATCTTGTAGTTAGGCCCACACACTTGCGCCCTTGTCACATGGATTTTATCGAAATCTACTAGGATTATTCTCTTGGGACCATTTTCATTGGAAAGAGAGTCATTCGATCAGTAAGATAGGCCCTCTAGCTAAATTTCTGCGAATTTGTACATAGGCCCTTGTTCGACCAAGCCACAGATTTACAGTAAGATAAATACATTCACCAACTTTTATTAAAATAAAACCATTTAAACTGGGTGTTCGGATTTATATGTCACTTAGTATATTAGATATTCAGTGTTTTTAAAAGAAGGAGTAAAAACTCAATGAATGGTCCTTGGGAATTAATCTAAGACGTCTATTTTCGAAATACTAGTCCGTTTTGAAAATGCTTGTCGGTCTACTGTTTTCAACAGAACCACATGGAGATTATGGATAGGAAGAAGAGGATCTGCTCTATCTTTGGGCTTGAACTTCATTCCTTCTAAAGAGTCTAAAGTTATCACTTTACACTATTCCAGTCAAATGTTTGTATTAAATTAGATAAATATGCTGGTCTGTGTTATTAGAGCTAAATAGAATAGAATTGGATTGAATTATTTCGTCAATTTTTTCTCGCGCGAAGTTCTTATCTAGAATACTTCATACTCAGGCATATAAGTGGGAACCACTTCCAGTATCAAACACGGTATAAAGATAAAAAATAGATGATCAAAGATCTGTCCAACGTAGGCTCATGCTTTTCAAGTGTTTATCGCTGATCTAACACTTAACGCAAGGAACGTTACGATTGATATACTACAAGAATCATCGTTCGTTATATTACTTTTGTTAATGATTTTTTCAGAAATTTCCATTTTAGGAAAGATTAAAGAAAATGCAATGTAATTGAAATGTTATTCTTTAGATGTTACATACTAGTGTTTCCTATAAAGGTCTAGGTGGACCCCCAGGGGTCCACGGTAGACTCAACGGGGGTCTACGCTGACGTAAAACAAAAATGAGGGTTCCCAAGTTGTAAGTGTAGAGACAATAACAACAAAGATGGGCAAATAACACATATGTATACAATTTGTTACTTTTTGTTGTCTATAGCTGATGATTTAATGTTTTCAGTCGGCAACAGCAAAATTGTTTCTTTAGTGTTACTTGATTACAGCAAGGCTTTCGATACCATTGAGCATTATATACTTTGCACTAAATTAGAATACTTTGGCTTCAGCTGTCCCGCTGTGCAATCTATAAAAGGTTTTCTGGTGTAAAGATACCAATATGTCTCAATTTATTTGAAGAATTCCAAGAAATCCCCATAACAATGGGAGTACCTCAAGGCTCCATTCCTAGTCCTTTATTATTCTTTCTTTATATTTCATACTTTTCTAATAATATAAAGTATTGCAATGTTCATCACTACGCAGACGACAGACAATTATATTAAGGTTGTCATATTAATGATGCATCTTTTTTCTTTGATTTGATCAACAATGATGTAGATACCATGTATCATATTTCGGCTGCTTGTAATTTAACAGTGAATGCTTCTAAATCCAAAGTTATGATTTTTGGACCAAAGCAGAGACGAATCATAATAGAAAGTGAAAATCTATATTGGCTCAACATCAACAACATTGCTTTACCAGTTGTAACTGTAAGCAAAAATCTGGGTTTATCCTCGAAGACATTTACTAAATAGTAAATTAAAATTACAGCTGTGTGATTGACTAATCATTTCAAGGAAAGATTTTCATACATTGCGGCCAAACACTACAACAATCTACCGAGTACCGCAATTACAGTCTAATAAATTTCAAGAAAAAATTAAAAGAAATGCTTCTATCCGCCTCATTAATGAGATCAATTTTCAAAAATTCAGCAAGACTAACAGTATGATTTTTCGAGTCATATCATATGAACATCATGATTTTATTTCAAATGACTCAAAATATCTATACTTGTATAGATTTAAATTTTAATAGGCAATTATCACAAATCACATGTATTCATTATTTTACATTATTCTTATTCATGTTTGTAATCTTATTTTATGGCTGGGTAGAAAAATACCACTTCTATTCTTTAATTTTAAATTTTTAGTACCTCCCCTTATCCAAAATATGTATTTGTAAAAGAAACGAATATCAAAGGCATGTTATTATTATTATTATTGTAATACGTCCATATAACTTATTTTCGTTAGCATATCTGTCGATTAATCCATTTGTTGGCGTTATCCACTGTGGTATTAAAACACAAAAAGCTTCAGAATATTAAAAGCCTGCTTTTGTATGCTTTAGGCTAGACCGTAGTTAAAAACATTATGAGGCTCAATAATTTGAAAATTCGCATGATGTGCATGCGTGTAAAAGTACCGGATCATACAATTTGACTTTATTTTCTTCTGAAAACTTCCATATCTGAAGAGATTTTCTGCCTATGAAAACAGTAACAATTCATAACTATCTCGTAGAAGTCCTACGATAACTGAATCGCCACTAGTTTCGGAAAGCCCTTTTCCAGCTGGTCCAGTTTTAATCTGGAGGGTCAAAAATAAGAAGCATGGTATTGTCACCTAGTTATACGATCTAAGGATTTAGAGCTTGAAAATTTATAGTTTGGCGTACGGCCTGAAAACTTAAGAGAGGTTTACTCATTTTTTCTTTCACACGTGGGGCCCCTGTATGCTGTATCATTGATGCGGCGGTTGCTACGTCCTCGCGTCTTTCGATCCATCATCAAAAGCACATCAGCCTCCATCATTTCACACACAAAAAGTCTAGTACATTTGATATTGTGCTTTCCAAAATATAGATCAGACGACTTTTTTCGAACAATGTCATACTACAAGCTACATAGTTCACTTCCGCAATAGATACGTAAAAAATACTATTATGAAATATGAACTATGTTCTAGATGAGATTGTCGGTTCTTGTTTATACTTTCGCGAGATAAGTATGTTCTGATTTTTTTCTACTGTCGCTTTTCCTTGAAAGATAATATTATCCGTTGACCTTTTTAGAATTAGAATCACATTTACAAGAAATTCAGGATTGTCGCTTTTAGTATTCCATCTGTAATGTATGCCAAGTCATGTGTGCGTTTATCATAGTATACTTCAGTCTGTGTCAAGCCACTTGCACTGATAACAATTTCTTGGACAGTTATTATGACGTATTTAATGACCTGAATATGATATGATAATTAACGAAACTAAAAACTGAAAACTTGTTGTTTTGTTTTTTTTTAGTAGCATAACAGCAAAATATTTACTTCTATTAAGAATTGTCAAATCCGTTACATATAAAAATGGATTCAAGTGGGCTGACTCCGTACTTGCTGCAGACAAGCACAAATTCCCTTTTAATTCTGTGCAGATACAAATTCGAAAGGTTTTAATGTAATGCAAGGTTTAGGTTGCCTCGTTTGAAAGTATGTCAAATAAATCTACACTTCTTACACAGGAATGGGCATACTTTAGATTGACGATCTAGATAAGCAGGCCTGCAATGAAAAAAGCATGCTAAAATGAGATCTCGTGACACAAAAGCGGCCTCTATAGAAATTTCTAAGACGCTGGAGATCTTCAGATATTACGAAAATTATTCTCCTTGATGAAGATGAAATGAACGTATATACAGGTATAGTATTTAATTGGAATATATACTTAGTTAATTCATTTTCAAGTTCCTAAATCAATTTCGTCTAGTAGTAACAGTTTTAAAAAATGTATGTGACTAGGAATTACTGGAATATTTTATCAGCAAATTGATAGCCTTGCATTGGTTATAGGGTAAACAGAGGAATATTTTCCTAGATGCTATCTCATTTCTAGAAATCATTGCCGTCACAATTTCATAACGGCTCAAGGTTGGTCCAGTTCCCTGTAAGGTGTATACATATTTATATTCGTCTAGCTGTAAAGATCCATTTTGATACCCAGTCAAATATTTCTGAGCACGGTCCTATTTGAATCGAATCAAACTAAAGAACAAGGCGGCATTTTCTTTACCAGGAGAACTTTTCTTTGAGAAAGTTTACTTGACTCACAAATTTTCAAATAGGCATTTTATTAAATATAGAATTATCGAATTCTTTACAGTATAATGTTGTTAATAAAGTTTATTGCCGATACAGAAGACCTGTCGCAACATAGGTATCGACGTCATTCATCTTCCCAAAAAAACAAGTTTGTACATGTTTAAAAAATAAATTTCGTTTTTTGTAACAGTTTGTTTACTGGTGAATAATAAGTATAAGTATTTCGACATACACTTATATCTGGCAAGTTGTAATCGGTTTCCACAGATTGGGTAATATTCTAAGTATTGTTCTGGACAATGTAGTTACAGCATCTCCTACTGGTATCTCTCTATTTGAATATGTTGATCATGAGAACAA